AAATTAAATGTTCAAATTAGACCACTTGGAAGACAAAATATATAATCTTTTTTATTTTTTTTCCTTTTTCTTTCTTTTTTTTTTTTTTTTTTTTTTACAGAAACCATGCAGACTGTGTTCCTTTCTTCTTGCTCTCCAAAACGGAGAGAAGAAGGATCATCAATGGCAATAGGCAGTTGCAGCAAAGCAACAACAAAAGCCAGCCACATACTCAGAAGGGAGCACTATGCCCCTCCTTGTGGTTTCAGGTATTCTACATGATCAGAGAAACTTCTCTAGTAAGAAACTATAGAAATGCTCCCTAAAAGTATGGTCTTAAAAATATATAATCTTGGAAAGAACGTAGACCATGCAGTGAAAATGCTAAAAAGCCATCAGCAGAACATTCAAGAAATAAGGGATAGCATAAAAAGATCAAATTTAAGAGTTATCAGGATAGGGGAAAGCATAGAGTTCCAAACCAAAGGAATGAACAAACTATTCAGTAAAATAATATTAGAAAACTTTTCAAAAATGTTCCAAACCAAAGGAATGAACAAACTATTCAGTAAAATAATATTAGAAAACTTTTCACAAATGAAGAATATATTGGATAATCAAATTTTAAAGGCTTACAGGATGTCAAATGTACAAAATCACAACAGATACACACCAAGGCACATTATAATTAAAATGCCTAACATTCAGAATAAGGAGAGAATATTAAAAGCCACCAAAGAAAGGAATCAGATAACACATGGGGGGAAACCAATTAGGTTATATGCAGATTTTTCAACACAGACCCTGAAAGCTAGAAGACCCTAGAACAACACATATCAAGCTCTGAAAGAAAATGAAATCCAACCGAAAATCTTGTATCCAGCAAAAATAAGCTTCAGATTCGATGATGAAATAAAAATCTTACATGATTAACAAAATTTAAAAGAATTTATAGCTAGAAAATCTGCTCTATGAAGAGGAAATGAAAAACAACAATAAAAATCAACAGAGGTAGGTATTATACTAAAGGAAAATTTAATCAAAAGAGAAACCAAGTCAAGTTAAATAACAAATATAAACAAAAATGTTGAGAATACAAATCATATATCAATAATAACCCTGAATGTTAATGGCCTAAACTCACCAATAAAAAGACATAGGCTAGCTAGCTGACTGGATTTAAAAAGACACAACAATATGCTATGTCCAAGAGATTCATCTCATAGGAAAAGACATCCACAGACTGAAGGTGAAAGATTGGGAAAAATTATATCACTCATATGGTCTATGGAAGCAAGCAGGGGTTTCCATCTTTATATCAAACAAGTAGACTTTAAGCTAATCAAATGGAAAAGAAAAGGACATTTCATACTGCTCAAGGGAGCCATATACCAACAAGATATAACAATTATAAATGTATATGCCTCAAACAATGCAGCAACTATGTTCATCAAACTCTTCTCAAGTTGAAGAGTCAAACTGACACCAACACAATAATTTTGGGTGACTTTAACACAACTCTTTTACTACTGGATAGATCTTTCAAACAAAAGCTGAACAAACAAACTATACAACTCAAAAGTATAATCAATAACTCAGACTTAACGTATTTAAATGAGCAAATACACTTTCTTCTCAGCAGCACATGAAACCTTCCCTAAAATAGACCATATATTATGCCTCAAAGCAATACTTAAAAATACAAAAAAAAGTAGAGATACTACCCTGCATTCTATAAGATCACAGTGGAATGAAATTAAAAATCAATGATAAAATTTTTAAAAAGTCAACAAATAAATTAAAATTACATCTCAAAGCCCTAGAAAAAGAAGATCAAATCAACACCAAAAGCAGTAGAAGAAAGGAAATAATTAAAATCAGAGCTCAAATCAATGAAATTGAAACAAAAGAAACATTGAAAAAAATCAACAACACAAAAAGTTGATTCTTTGAAAAAAACAAATAAAATTGACAAATCCTTAGCCATGCTAACAAAGAGAAGGAGACAGAAAACTGAAATTACTAACATATGAGATGAAAAAAGAAATATCATAATAGACATTTACCGAAGTCCGGCTGCAGCAAAATAACCAAGGGGTGACAAGCAACTTGTGTACATTGATGCTGCAAGAGTGGGAGCCGTTTATTGTAGGACAGGAGGGGTATATATACATGCCACACAGCTTATCTTAATTAACATAAACTAGATACAGCAGTCAACCAATAAGGAATCTCCACACTTAATGGCTGGCTGGCATTACTTCACAAACCACTCCCTCTGGCAAAATGCCAGGTGCCATCTTGACTTGTTTAGAGACCTTAACAGACATTATAGAAATACAGAAGATAATTAAAAATTAATTTTAAAACTTGTAATCCAATAGAATAGAAAATACTGAGGGCATCAACAAATTTATAGAATCATATGATTTGCCCCAATTGAATCAGGATAATATCCACATTTGAAACACATAAATTACAAGTAATGAAATAGAAGATGCCATCAAAAGCCTACCAACCAAGAAAAGCCCAGGATTGGAAAGATACACAGCTGAGTTCTACAAGACCTTTAAAGAAGAACTATTACCTATACTCTTCAAATTATTTCATTTAAAAGAAAAATAAGGGGCACTTCTAAACTCATTCTATAAGGCCAATATCACCCTGATTCCAAAACCAGGCAAAGACACATCAAAGAAAGAAAACTCAAGACCAATATCTCTAACAAATATAGATGCAAAAAGACTCAATAAAATCTGGCAAATCAAATACAGAAACATATTTTAAAAATTGTGCACCACAATCAAGTGAAATTCATCCCAGGGATATAAATTTGGTTCAACATTTGGAAATCAATAAATGTAATTCATCACATCAATAGACTTAAAGATAAGAACCATATGATCATCTCAATAGACACAGAAAAATATTTCAAAACTACTCTATGCCTATGTGGATTTGACCATTCTATCTACCTCCTAGAGGTGGAATAATATTGTGTATATTTCAACGTGTGTGTGTGTATGTGTGTGTGTGTGTGTGTGTGTGTGTGTGTGTGTGTCTGTGAGTTTGTAAGTTGCTAGGGATTGAATCTGGAGCCCTGTGCTCTACTACTATTAGGCAGTGCTCTACTACTGAGCAACAACCATAACCTTTGTGTATGTTTTCTTTCAAGTAGTGAGATGCTTCAAAGTTAATCTGTGTTGGAGCTTCTGGCAATTTAACTTATTTTGAGATTTAATTAGTTACAAAAAATTTTTGATAAATACGAGACATTCCTTTATCAAACAACTTCATGGCTCATTTCTATCAAACATTTAAAGAAGAACTAATACCCATTCTTCTCAAACACTTACAAAATTTTAAAAACAATATTTCAAAACTCAATTTTTCATACCAAAATCGGACAAGGACACCACCACCAAAAAGAAAACAAAAAACAAAAAACAGTTGATATCTGTGATGAACAAAGACATAAATTAATCAAATACATGTTACTAATGTAAGTTTAACAACACATTAAAATTTTTAATCTTGGCCACATGATTTAATTGCAGGGATGTAAGATGGTTTGACATATGCAAATCAGTAAACAATCCACACATGCTTTTCTTAAAAAAAATGTTTAGTTATTTATTTATTTATGTGTAGATGGACACAACACAATGCCTTTATTTTTATGTGGTGGTGAGGGTCGAACCTGGATCCTGCTTGTGCTAGACAAACACTCTACCACTGAGCCACAATCCCAGCCCAATCCACACCATCTTAACAGAATAAATGGAAAAAAATGTACAGATCATTTGGATACATGCAGAAAAACATAATTTTTATAAATTATGGTCCCTTTCATGATGAAAAGTTTCAATAAATTAGATATAGAAGGGATGTACCTCAATGAAAATATACCAAATCAACACATAACATCATATTCAATATGAAAAGTAAAAAGTTTTATATTTAAGATCCTGAATGAGACAATGAAGACCCCTTTCACCAATTTTTTTCCAATGTAATACTGAAAATCCTATTCAGAGGAAGTAGTAAAGAGAAAACAAAAAAAAGAAATAAAGGCATCCAGCATAGATAGGAGGAAGCCAAACTGTCATTGTTTGCAAATGGCTGGATCTTGTATATGAAAAACCCTGAAAAACACATAAAAAGCAACATCGTAGGACAAAATCAACATATGGACATCAGTAATGTTTCTGTACAGTAACTTCAAACTATCTGAAAAAGAAATCAAAAGAACTTTTAAAGGCCAAATAGCCACATATGCCTAGGAACAAATTTAATCAAGGAGGTGAAAAATCTCTACAATGAAAACTATAAAGCACTGGAAAAACAATGCGAAGAAGACACAAATAAACAGAAATACATCCCATGTTCATGTATTAGAAGAATTAATATTGTTGAAGGTCTGTACTATCCAAAGCAAACTACAAACTGATTGCAATCCTATTAAAATACCAGTCACACCTCTAGTACACTACCCTAAAATCTGTATGGAATCCCAGTGGGCCATGTGCAGCCAAAGCAGTCTTGAACAAAAGCCCAAACCATACTACAAACCCATAGAAACCTGAAACAGCATGGTACTGGCATAAAAGCAGATATATCCACCAATGGGACAAAAAAGGGAACTCAGAAATAAATCCACACATCTACACTCAAAGAACTTGTGACAAAATGTGCCAAAAATACACAATGGAAAAGGACAATTATCAATAAATAATACTGAAAAAACTGGACATGCACTTGCCGAAGAAAAAAATTTAGTTCTTATGTTATACCATATATAACATTCAACTCAAAAGTAATTAAATACTTAAATATAAGACAATTAAACTATAAATCTATTGGAAGCAAATATAGAGGAAGGGATTCAATCAGCAGAGAAAAATGATAACCAATAGAAAGGAAAATAACATTTGAAAACTTACATCTAATTGAAGTGATACTATCCAAAATAATGGAGGAACTCAAATAGCTTATATAAACCAATTAAGATATGAATAAGAACCTAAATAATCTTTTTTCAACAGAAGATATACAGTTGGCCAACAGGTATGTTAGAAAATTCTGGGCATCTTAATCATCACGGAAATGCATTTTCAGACCACAATGAGCACCTCACCCCAGTTATATCTGTGCCCAAAAGCCCAAAAGACAAAAGATAACAAGTGTTGGTGAAGATATGAGGGTAAGGGAACATTTGCATACTGCTGGTGGGAATGTGAATTACCAGCCTTATGGAAAGTAGGTTAGAGTTTCCTTAATAAATAAAAAGGAGAACTATCATATGATCACAGATTTCCTCTTCTGAGTATATACCCAA